TGGTAATGCTTCGTTCCAGTTACCGTATTGCTATACATTTTAAATTATTTTAGAATGAGTAAAAATTCATTTACGATTGTTATTATGTGAGTTAACGGATATTATAAACGAACAGACACAACCATGAGAAAAAGCATACCAGCGGACGAACGTCACCGCACTTACTATAAGGTATATAATATTTTTAAACTTATTTTTGTAGTTTTTAATATATTTATTATACATATATATTACATTAAATAATATTATATCATACATTAATTGAAAATATTTGATAAAATTGAATCGTTATCATCATCGGTGGCATGGGTTGTAATGCTTTCTGTGGAAGTCATTGATTGAATGCTATTTGGCGATATGTCTGGTACATTCACTCTTGTAGGTGCTCGAAATGAAGAAGGTTCAATATGATAAACTGGTGTTATTATTATTAGCAGATACATCAGATATATCTTGATTCATAGTCGGTGTTATAGAATTGTTTCTGAAATGGATGAAAACTAGTATATGCGTACTCATGCGATGGCATAAGCAGAGATTTTTGAAATTTTCTATCTCCAAAATCTTGGTTTATTCATTTGATTTTGGAACATTAATTTAGCAATGTCATGGCAAACACTGGTTGATTTTGTGCAGATTTTCATATGAGATCATACGCACCTGTTTGCGCTTGTCGCGTTTCACGCTCGAGCCATGACTAAAAACAGTGTGACATCGATTAAATGAGCTGCCAGAATAAACAGTGGTGATAATAGTTTTGTTGTTAGTTATCACATGATTAATAAAACAGTTTCGCGTGCAAAATCATAATTAAAATAACTGATTTCAATCAATTTTATTACAAACGTTGTTCAATGTGACCCCATTAACTGATGCACTTTTCCATACGATGATGTGAACTCCAAGTTTCAAAAATTTGGCGTTTGACAGATGATATCGCTTCATTATTGGTACCATTAGTTCATCTCTATTGTTTACTTCTTTGGCATAAACTTGTTCTTTCATAAAACATAAGAAAAAGTCACATGGATTGAAGTCAGGACTGCGTGTGGTGGCCATGTTAAGTCTGGGCGATATTGAGCATTGTTTCCAGCTCCTCTACCAATAAGTTGTCAGGGAAAAGATAATGCAATTGTTGTCGGACTGCATTTGTATGATGAGGGAGGTGCCATCTAACATAAACCACATTGTTTCTTGGTCTTCAATGGTACGTTCTCTAATAGTATCGGAAGATCATACATAATAAAATGTAAAAATCCTGACCGTTTAATCTAGCCGGTAATACATGTGGGCTAATAAATTTCCTACCAATCCACCAAATATTTATACTAAATTTGTACTGGGATCCCCCTTATACGAATAGCATGCGGATTTTCTTCAGACCAAAAATGCGAGTTGTGTTGGTTAATCCCATCTTTGTAAATGCCGCCTCGTCCAGTAAATAAATATTTTTTAAAAAATTTGGATTTATTGTGATTTTATCAAAATGGTTTGGCGCCTCAACGCGCAGATAATCACGTGGTAATAATTCTTGAACTCGTTGTCGATGATAGGGTGCATGTTGTTTGGTGTAATATTCTCCACTACTGATGGAGAAATTCCAGTTCTTGAGGATATGCGTCGAACACTAAGTTCGGATCTTCATGTACTAAATCAATTACCAATTCTTCGTTTGCCACATTTCGTACATATCTCGGGCGTCACGATTTATTCACAGGTCTTACGTTACCTGAAAGAAAACATTATAACTTGTAGTTTATTTAAATTGTTAATATGACAAATTTGGTTTAAAAGTTACCATTTCTCTCAGACGACGATAAGTTGCTTAAAAAGTATTTGGATGAGGCACTACGCAAAGGAAATCGTTCTACCGCATATCTAGCTGCAGAATTTCCATTTCCATCAATAAACCTAATAGTCACACAGGTTGATTAACAAAATAAATATTGTTACTTATTTCATGTGTAAATTAGTCACTTAAAATAGTTTGCTTGTAGCTTTGTGATAAAACAAAATACCAGTTTTCAATGCAACGAATGAATGACAGTTAGTTAAATAAATAAATAAATAAATAAACTAAGTACCTAATATACTTAAATAAACCATATCCATATTCAACGCAGTGTACTCATAATTCAAAATTTAAATAAAACACTTTTAAAACTTGAAACAAATTTAAAATGTTGTTCAATGGCAGAAGTATTGGAATGCGTTATGACCAAAGTGACTAATGTTTTAGTAAGTGCGGTCAATTAAATAGTAAAGTATATATGCTCTAATAATAACCTAAATAAAATGTTTATCTTATCTGTCCTATAATTATGTTAAGTGATGATACAAGCGGAATTTCAGTCAAGTACACAAATAGCATGTTCTTTTATCTCTAATTTATGACATGTACTGCTAAGTTGCCATATTTTATTAATTAAAACTCATGGCTTAAATTTATGGCAATAAGATTCGATATTTAAATCTATTAACCTAATTTGTGTTATATCATCATTTTTCGAGCAATAAAGCATTATTAATCATGTGGGTAACGACGCTAAAGCTATACCATGTTTATCTTGATTACTCCATACAATCGTGTGTCACGACATTTTTAGTCGGCGGCTCAGGCGTAAACGCGACAAGCGCAAAAGCAAGTTGACGTATCGATTCATATGAGAATCTTCAAAAACTCTTCAGGTATTATATTAACATTAAATTAATGTTGTAAAATAATTGAATAACCAAGATTTGGAATAGGGAAAAGATTTCAAAAAAATCTACTTTGGGCCATCGCAGTGAGTACGCATATACTAGTTTCCTCATCCATTTCAGAAACACCCTGTATACTTGAGCTGATACATTTTCAAAACGTCTACCAAAGGACTCATAATTATAATTTTGAGGATTAGGTTGACTATATTTTTGTATTACATTCATAATCTCAATTTGGGCTTGAAATTTCATATTATTATCAATGGCTTTGAAACGATCGTATAATGACAGTAAAAAATGCTTATCACTATCAATATTATTCAACGCTTCATTTTCTTTGCTCATACGTTCTGACAAACGGTGTGATAAGTTTGTAATTAGCTCAGTCTCAGCATGTGTGTTACGCTCAACCACCGACGACCACAATTTCGTGGGTGATACAGTCGACACGATGCGACTGAAGTCGAAACTGACGGCAGAAAGTGGTCCGTCTGAGTTCAATTACATTTTTCATATTATTTTATATGTTTTTAAAATATCAACCACGAGCGACCACCGTTTTGCGGTCGTAGCGTGGTTCTAAAGTGGTCCGTGTGAGCTTACCCTAATCGGTAACTCTTGAGTCGTGTTTCTAAAAAAAACATGCGATTGTGAAAAGTCAACAACCATATTAATATAATATTATGATCAAAATTTAAAATAATTTTAAATCCAACGTTATTTTGGTTGTATAAATAAATAAATAAATAAAAACATCGACAAAAAATATTGATAAAATGATAAATTATTTAAAATATGCATCTAAAAGTATTAAATGGGAAAAATATGCCCTAAAACCAAAAAAAAAACGCAAAATATGCATTTATATGCACAATAAAATTTCAAAACTAGCTTTGTGGAAGCATGAAACGTATTGGTTTCGCACTCTGCTATTTTCGTGACTATGCAAAAAAAATATGCAAATGCTACAAGTCCTCTGCCCTAAATTAATAACACTTACAATTATTGGAACTTAAAGAAATTAATTATTTTGAAAACAATGATATTTAAGTAATGCCAGAAGTAACCAAAACATTTAAAATAAAATATACATTACATAATCTTATTTATAACTATATACATAACTATTATGCTTACATAAAATGTAAAAATGAGTGGGTGCAACAATTGGAATAAAATACACAAATGTATACCTTTAGAGGTGGAAATTAATTAATAACAACATAGGAGACCTATTTGTACGTAGACAATTTGAAGACTAACATTATCAAAGATTAAACGATTTAGTTTGACAAGTATTTGATAACAACCAAAAATTAAGAACTTCAAACAGCACACTAGAACCTACAGTTCATTTAAAATTAATTTGTTCAAAAGGTAATTTTTTTTTTAAATTATATTTATACATTTTACATTGGTAAATTTATTGTATACAGCTGATATTCAGTAAAATGGTGATCTGACAAAATATTTTTTGAAAAAATTACTCAATATTATTTTAATTTTATTATTTAACGAACACGGTGTCCAATAATACAATAATTTTAATATTACCTACTTTAAAACGGTTCACAGTAAAAAAAAAAAGCCTAAAATAATAAATAAAGGTAATAAAATAATTAATTATAATATTTCATTTATAATAACATACCTGTTATCAATAAGTGCAACGACAAAAATATCTTGTGAACAAGAAGTCAAGAAGGTTTCTACTTTAAAGTTTAAAGTTAACTTGAAAAAAATATATATGGGGGAAAATGAACTTTTAACAAATTTGGAGATTAAAGAACTTATCATAATCCCAAGGTAATTGCGATACTTTTTAAAGACAATAAACCTATAATGAGTTGAGGTCTTTAGAGTAGATATCAACGAGAAAATTCTGATATTGTATTACTATTTTAAAATCAAAGCTAGGTACTTATTTAACATACCCATTTCCTATTAAAAATAACTTTTACCAAAATATTTAAAAATATTCTAATTTTAGTACCTACCTACTCTACCAGTTTTCAAATTTGTATTTTTATAATAATAAATGTTCTTGGCGTAGGGAATGTGGCGTGCCCATCGCCCGATACACTTGACAGTGTATCGCAATAGCCCCACACTGTCTTTAATTAGATGGTGTGGACTGGTCCTCCAGGTTGGGGGTTTAGCGCAGGGCTAACAACCCTGCCTTGTAAAAAAACTCTTGTTCAGGAACCAAACAAAAACAAGCCTCGGACATATAGATTTAATGGAAAAACGAACGGAAACAGAAAACAGGATTTACTCTTTGGAACATGGAATGTACAATGTTTCAACCTGGAACAGCTATAAGCGTAGTCAAGGAAATTGAGAAATATAAAGTAATTTTAGTAGCATTACAAGAAATCAGGTGGAATGACGAAGGAACCATAGACATAAATGATACTATTATTCTGTATGGCAAGTGCAATGAAAGACGACAGTTTGGGGTTGGCTTTGCAGTACATAAAAGCCTAGTGCATACGATAAAAGAGTTCAAAGTTATCAACTATAGAATTGCTATTCTTATAGTTAAGGCCAAATTTTTTGATATAGTATTTTTAAATGTACATGCACCAACGGAGGAGAAGTCACAAGAGGAAAAAGAAGAATTTTATGCTGAGTTAGAAGATATCTTGTCGAGAATAAACAATAGCAAAATACGAATTATCCTGGGTGATATGAATGCGAAGATAGGAAAAGAACAGTTCCTTAAACCTACTATAAGGAAATATAGCTTACACGAAACAACAAATGATAATAGTATGAAACTAGTAGATCTTGCAACTGGCAAAGGTTTCAGGATAATGAGTACAATGTTTCCCCATAAGGATATACATAAAGGTACATCACCACTTTTTAAAACACGATACTTAGTAATTTTAAAGTTATTTATGATAATACAAACATTTCCACGTCGTGATTCGAAAACTTCACTAATTTCTAAATCATATTTAGTAAATATAAGTTCTAGTATAAAATATTATGTAGATACACACTTTAGGTTTTGAGAGATCTTTTATAAGTATTTAATAACATTTCCACTTTTATCGATGGTTATCTTTGCAGAAAATCGAACCGTTTGGGCACCCAGATATTAAATGTATAACTGCTTGCGCACGACGGTAATTGTATATTATGTCGGAGACATAGGGACTGAACCTCGATTAAAAGTGGAATGTTATACTTATAACGTGTATCTCTCAAACACTAAAGTGTGATTCCAATATTATGTTATTACTAGAACTTACTATTTACTAAATATGTTTAAAGTAAGTTTCGAATCACGACGGATGGTATTATCATAACAATTAAATCGATCTGAAAAAGTGGTATTGTCTTTTCTATTATCATCTATGGAAACATTGTACTCTATCCTGAAACCTTGCATTGACATGGACTCTAGTATTCAACTATACATTTTGTCGTGTATATTTCATTATAGTAGGATTTAAGGAACCGAATTTTTCCTCATCTTCGCATTCATATCACAGATAATTCATTTGCTACTGTTTATTCTCGAAATATCTCTATAGCAATTCTTCTTTCTCTTAGACTTCTCCTCCGTGCGTCATGTACATTAAAACTACTATATCAAAATTTATTAATATAAGAATAACGAATCATAGTTATAACTTTGAACTCTATCAGCTAATATCTTTTCTCACTGTAAAGCCAACCCCAATGTCTTTCTACATCACTTGCATAAATTATATCATTTATGCTGCGGTTCTGATCATTCCACCTGATTTCTGTAATACTACTAAAATTAGCTTTAGTATTTCTCACTTCGATCTTCGTCTAGCTGTCCGGGAACATTGTACTTCATGTTCCAAGAAGTAAATCCGTTTCGTTTCCTCGTTTTTCGACTTGGTCCGGGGTTTTTACAGGCGAGGTTGTACGCCTTTGGCCTGAGACCGTCACACCATCTGAACCAAAGACGGTGATGATAGTGTGCAGCGCTCCGCTGTCAGTATCAGGCGATAATACATTCTACCAGGTATTGTGTTATAATACCAGAATTTAGCAAGCCTGGTAGGCTGAAACCAGAATATTTTAAATATTTTGGTAAAGACCATTTTAATATGAGCCCATGTTAAATGCCCCAACTGATGCAAGCTCAATGACAATATCAGAATTTTCTCGTTGATATCCTCGTTAACTCGTAAATTTATTGTCTTTAAAAAGTATCACTGTCTGCTGATTATGACTCAGGATAACACCATCTCAAGGCTAATTAATTTTCCCATATACTTTCAGGGTAACAAACTTTTAAGTAAACACTTCTTGACTTCTGGTACGATAATTTGCACCAATATGCTTTGGTATGTTATTATAAATAATGTGCGTATTTTAATACTGTTATTACCTTTGTTATTGTTTTGGGCGCGCGGCGGACGGGTTTGGTAGGTAATATTAAGTATTATTAGTTGCCGTCATTAGACCAAATAATAAGGGTAAAATAATATTGATATTTTCAAAAAGCTCACGTCGAATCATATTTTATGAATCGGCTGTATGTAAATTTACCAATAACCAGCTATAAACAATTTAAAAAGGTACCTTTTGAGCTAAGTAGGTAATGAACTGTAGATTCTGATAACGTTGGTTCTTAATTTTATTGTTATGACTGCTGTCCGAAACAATCTGTCTTTATTAATGTTGGTCTTCAGAGGTGTCTGCGACCTGAAGCCTGACATACCTCGACGATGACCAATTTCACCTCTGCATTTATTGTCATTTTATTCAGTATTGCACCCACTGCATTTTATAACTTTAATAATTATAATATATAATTATAAATAGTTATGTGTCATGTTATTTTATGTTTAAGCATGCCAAACTATGGTGTTTTCAAATAATTAATTCAATATTAAGTGAATGAGCGCAGAACGAAGAGACAGCCAGCATTGCATATTTTGCATGATCACAATAACGTTTGTAACCGATAACTGGCTATTTTAACACCTTGACCATATAATGCATGACACGGCTGGTTTGAAATATTTCATTGCTCACCCGAATCCATATTTTCAAATAATTTATCGCTGTCATATTTTGATAAATAATTTTGTTTATTTGTTATGCAACAATAACGTTAAGGATTTCAGAACCAATATTATATTAACAGGTGACTTTCTGTCGCGTGTTTAAACACGACTGCCACTGGAGTAGGCTGTCACACGTTAAGGCTACTTCCGACCTGAAACGATGATCATAAATGATTGTTTGTATAAGCTAATGTGGTGAACTCAATTGGTACTTTTCTGCTGATCATTCAAAACTAAATGCGTCGTCGTTATCACCCACAGTGGTCGTCGATGATTGTC